TTTAATTTTTAGAGTCGAGACGGTGCTCAATACTATCGCCTTCTGAGTACTTGAGCAATGTACGAGGTGTGTTCAAAAAGTAAGGTGACTTTGTATTTTCAAGAAAAACTATTAATTTATTTATCAATATTTATGTTGTCCCCTTCAAAGTAATCCCCCTCAGATACAATACACTTATGCCAACGGTTTTTCCAATCCTCAAAGCACTTCCCATAAGCACTTTTCGGTATAGCCTTGAGCTCTTGCAGCGATGCAGTCTTTATCTCTTCAATCGTTGCAAATCTCCGTCCTTTCATAGGTCTCTTCAGTTTTGGGAACAAGAAAAAGTCACATGGGGCCAAATCCGGTGAATATGGTGGCTGAGGCATTATTGTGGTGTTGTTTTTGGCCAAAAAAATCTCTCACAAGCAAAGATGAGTGAGCAGGGGCATTATCGTGATGCAAAAGCCATGAATTGTTTTTCCACAATTCTGGACGTTTCTTTCGTATTGCTTCTCGCAAACGGCGCATAACTTCCAGATAATACTGTTTATTGACCGTACGACCATATGGTAAGAACTCCTGATGCACCACGCCATGGTAATCGAAGAAAACAGTGATCAAAACTTTGACATTTGATCGAACTTGGCGTGCTTTTTTCGGTCTTGGCTCGCCTGGGCTCTTCCATTGGGACGATTGGGCTTTGGTTTCGATATCATAACCATATACCCATGATTCGTCACCAGTTATGACCCTTTTGAGTAAATCTGGGTCGTCGTTGACGTCATTCAACAGCTCTTAAGCGATGCTCATGCGACGGTTCTTTTGGTCAAAATTCAGCAATTTCGGAACAAACTTCGCTGACACACGACTCATACCCAAAACGTTTGAAAAAATTTCATGGCACGAGCCAAGCGATATACCGACATCTTCAGCAACTTCTCTGATAGTGATTCGACGATTTTCCAAAACAATTTTCGTCACTGCTTGAACGTTTTTATCAGTTGTTGACGTGCTTGGGCGTCCAGAGCGAGGCTGGTCATTGGCATCTTCCCGGCCATCTTGGAAGAGTTTGTACCACTTGTACACATTTTTTTTACTCAGAACAGTTTCACCGTATGCCACTGTCAACATTTCAAGTGTTTCAGAGCACTTAATTTTATTTTTTACACAAAATTTGATGCAAATCCTTTGATCCATATTTTTCGATAGCAAAAAATCGCCGAGCTCGCAAAATAACTTGTAACTTTACGCCTCTCACAACCAAACAAAAGAGGATGTTCCATTGAAACTTGGTACAGATGTTAGGGAAGAGTGTACCAATATAACAAAACAAAAAAATCGATAATCGAAAATATGTTGCCCGCGAAATTTGAAAAGTCACCTTACTTTTTGAACACACCTCGTATCAAGGGAGAAAAGTCTAAGTTGTACCTATTCATATACTCATATTCGAATTCATTTATCAGTAGAGGCTCAGCTCCTTTTTCTATTATTGATAATACCCTGTTCTGAAAGTTGGGTTCCCTATCAAGAGTAATTCTAATACACTCTGTAGTATTCATATTTATTTATTTTTTTTTTATTTATTTATTTTTTTTCATTGTACATTAGATAAGATTATTGGATAATGTAATAGATTATTGGATAAAATAACATCTATATTCAATATATCAATATATGGACATACATATCTTGAACATCTTTTTGTAATTATTGTTGGCGCTTTATGTATTTTATATTTTGTCCAGATCATTAGCCTGGCTTTTATTTATGGCTCTCTTCGATATACATTTATTATGAAACATATATGCCTAACCCTCACACTTGTTGTATCAGCTGCTGATGTCCTGGGCCTATGGGCTCAGGCGGTACCGGTGCTGGCTGCACAGGCTGAACTTCCTCGATGGTCTTCTATGTTGGGGCACCGGTGCTGGCTGCACAGGTGTACTCGCAATGGGGCGAGCACAGTGGTCCCTCGCAGTCGTTCGGGCACTTCTTCTTCAGCTTGGGAATATTGATATTTTCTGGTGGAGGCAGTTTTTGATTAGGTTTGGCAATATTTTGAATTACAGGGTAGGTGGATGTGTATGTGGCTGTGATTTGATTTTTTCGATCGGTTAGTAAACTTTTTATATGTTCAACTTCGGCAAGTATTTTTACCGAGTTGTTCCAACTTAATTCGTTTCCCCTGTTCAGCAGCTTCATTAATTGAGCCCTTCTGGCTTTTAATCTTTTCACCACGCCACTACGTTTTGCACACCTTACACTCTACTCACTGCGTTTTTTTTTAGTAGTTGCATCAGTTCCATCGGAATTTGGGCTCGAACATCACGGTCGCCATGTAATAGGTTAAAGTGTTTTTTCCATGTTCCTCCAATTCAATGAGTCCGATTTGGTTTCTTTTTGGTATTCTTTATTTATTATTTTTATTTTATTTATATTTGGAGCAGAGCAGCCGTTGTTGCCAGAACTGTATGTTATCTAAACATAAATTGGATATTTTAGGTTATTTGGTCTTATTATAAGCCAGTCTTCAGACGGCTTGAAGTCTAATTGACAGTTGTATCTTTTGATAAAATCGATTCCTAGTATTCCATCACATGGAATAGCGAATTGCATATTTACGATATGGAAATCATGTGGAATTATGTACTTAGAAGTTTGAATTTCAATAGAAGTTAACCCTTTTGATTTGGTAACTTCCTGACTTATACCCTGTATGTTTATGATGTGATTATCTTGAATGTTTTGAAAATTATCGGAATTTTCCTTCAATATGGATATTTTCGCACCTGTGTCTAGTAGGAAAACTAATTCCTTTCCTGATGCTACGTTCATGAAAGTGACGAATGTATTTTGACTGACATTTAGAGTGTGAATTTTTATGTTGTTTACTGTCGTGTATCTAAAGGTGGTTGGGAGTTTCCCGAATTTGTTTGTGCTACCCTAACGTTGTTATTGTGGTTGTTGTTGTTTTCCCCACGGCTGTTTCCGCCGTTGTTGTTTCCACCACGGTTGTTGTTTCTGTAATAACTGTTATTTTGGTTATTATTATTTCTGTTATAACTATTGTTTTGATTATATCCGTTATTGTTATTTCTGTTATAACCATCGTTTTGATTATATCCGTTACACACGCTGAACTTCCTCGATGGTCTTCTATGTTGGGGCACCGGTGCTGGCTGCACAGGTGTACTCGCAATTGTAACGTGCAACGTTCGAATGGATGGCTAATTTTCGAAAGAATCTGCGATGGCGGGGCACGCTGTAGATCCGGCACTAGCTCGTCGGCTTTGGGGGTGGAGGTCTTGCTCTCACAGATTCAGTTACGATGTACACATTATTATTAATATCCTAAGAAATTGAGCGTGCTTGCGACATTGAAGGGAGCTAGTAATATAAATCGGAAGAACTATAAACCAAATTCAAAAAAAAATAAAAAAAGAAAAATAGCGTATAAAGTAAAGTTTAAAGAAATGAAAGGGAAGTAACTATTTGCGTAGCTGCTGGTGTAATTGCGCCCGCTTATCGCCCACCCTACCTAGGACACCTGCCGCTAAAGCATTGCTCTGGTGACCCCTTCTTCCCTACGACCGTGAAATCATCAGCTCAGTTCAGCAACACGTTTCTTTTAAGTTTCCATTTTAATTACAAGACTTAAATTCATAATAATATTAGAGAAAATATAGTAAATAAGGTTTATAATAAAAATATAGAGTACGATCATAATATAAGCAAATATAATTCATGGCGTTAAATATATGTTTTCTTAAAGAGATATAAATATATAGATATAAATTTCGATATGTATGATTTTTAGCGAGTGTATTTAAATACTAGAATAGGATTACTTTATTTATTTAATTATCAGTTTACTTCATATGTGATATTTCAAAAACCAAAAAAATTAAATTTTCTTCCAGTTTCTTTTCAAAAAATTTAAGCTTAATTAGTTTAGTCTAAATTAATTTGATTTAAATTAATCATTATTTTTTTTGTAGAGGATTCACGAGATTCGACACTAATTTAATATTTGAATTTCTAGTAAAATATATTATTATTCTATTATCTCTTTTGTTTGCTTTTGCAATTGATAGGTGTCAAACAGATCTCGCAAAAAAAAACTAAATAAAAGTTTCAACCATTGCGTCGGATTTCATTCGAATATAAAATGTAAATTAAATCAATGACCACTCACTCAGTTTTTCCATCGGCGAAAGATCGATCTTCCGTTCAACGAATATGCTGTAAATTAAACAGGCGCTTCATACCGCCGCATGGGTTAAACGTTCTTACTTTTTTGGCGAGAACAAACGTATGAAAGAAAACTTTTGGTTATTTTTTTGAATATTTACATCGCGACTTTCCCTATCTCACAAACAAAATATTTATTTCATGCTCAAATTGGTTAACTGTTGGCGGTCCTTTTGCTGCTTTTCTTGTTTTCCGGGGCTAGCCGGGCTTCAGTGGCGCAAAAGGTTAACCGCTTATGGCCAGGCCGCGGCTCTAGCGATGACGACGAAAACCGGGGACTCTAATCAGCTCCTCTTGGCGTGCGGTGTTCCTCGAGCAATACGCGCTTCTTCAGGCGGCGTTCCTCTGCTGGGCGCCTTTTCGGCGGACGCCTCTCCAATGCGGCTGCTCCTCCGGCGTGCGCTCCACGGGTAGGGCTCCTATAGCAGATGCTCCTCCGATGTGGCTGCCCCTCCGGCAGGGTTCTTCTCCGGCAGAGCTGCTCCTGCGTGCGCTCTGAGTACAGCGCTCCCCTTGCGATGCTTCACCGCTATGGCTGCCCCTCCGGCAGGATTCTTTACCGGCAGGGCTGCTCCTACGTGCACTCTACGAAACAGCCGATCCTCTTGATGATGCTTCACCGCTGTGACTGCCTCTCCGGCAGGAATGATTCTCCGGCAGGGCTGCTCCTGCGCACTCTCCTTAGGGCGGATACTTTTCCGCTGTGGCTGCCGCTCCAGCAGGGATTTGTCTCCAGCAGGGCTGCTCCTCCGTGCGCTCTGCGGGACAGGCGCTCCTTGGGCGGATGCTTTACCGCTGTGGCTGCCTCTCCAGCAGGGATGCTTTTCCGGCAGGCTTCTCCTACGTGCGCTCTGCGGACGGCGCTCCTCGTGCGGATGCTTTACCGCTGTGGCTGCCCCTCCGACAGGGATTTGTCCCCAGCAGGGCAGCTCATCCGTGCGCTCTGCGGGACAGGTGCTCCGATTTGGCGGCTCCTCGGCAGCTCTGTGAAATTTGTGTTGCCACTATAAATTTTCGTAAAAGAGCGAACACAAGGTTTTACCCACCTGGTTTTGAGGTCTTATTCCAAAAAAAAAACCACACAGATTTCATCCACAATTTATTCGCGATCGGATTCACGAATTTATCTCCGCGATTTTTCTGTACTTCCCGGCTGCGATACACGTGTGATGTCACTGATTTTAATAGATTACTGAATAGGTGCATCTGCACTCAATGACGGCTTGGTTTGAATAGACCGAGTCTAGAATAGCGTGGCCTAATTGAGGCCGCCGGCGGAAATGTCTCTCAGCTGAGTCGAGCTTCCCAAAGAAACCCTGCGCCAGCTGACCTTCGATGAATTGCCATTCTCATTTTTATTACTCCGATAAAATTGCACCAAAGTTTCAGATATGCAATGAAACTCGGCTAGCAGTTCCAGAGAAGAAGCATACTTCTAGGATAAACTAAAACGGCCTATTCAGTCGCCTCTACAAAGCCCCTCCGAACAATCAGGCTAGGGTATTTTATCCCTGGTACCCTAGACTGATACCGACGGAAGAGGCCTTACTGCCGGATATCCTTGGCGTGATAGGTACCTATGAGGCGTCCTTGTAAGTCTTCCAGTTCATAATACGCGCTTCCTAGCTTCTTGCGAACTCTTGATTTTACAAAAGACGGTCCGAATTTGGCAGAATATCCAGTCTGAAAGCAACTTTGTTTGAAGCTCCGTCGATACACCTCTTGTCCTTCCGCAAATGAAACGTTTCGAGACCGAAGGTTATACCGTTTCTCGTTTTCGGCGTGCTGTTCCTGCATACGCTTACTTGCTTTTTCTCGAACGATCTCAAACGAGTCCTGGCGATTGAATTTCAGTGAACGGTCATCAAGTAAATTTAATTTCCTTAGAAGTGAGTACGTAGAACCGGATGTTATCATGTGCTGTCCAAAAACCATATAATATGGAGATGTTCCCAAACTAGAGTGAACGGAGGACCTCAATGCACAACATATCCTGTTCAGATGTTCGTCCCAGTCCTTCTGGTCTGGACGCAAATATGCTCGGATTGCGGCAATCACGGAGCGATTAACGCGTTCAGAAGCATTTGCTTGTGGTGAATGCACCGCTGTGAAGGTATGTGTAATGCCATACTGCTGCATTAATTTACGAAAAGCGTGAGACCGAAATTGTGAACCGTTGTCTGACACCACGGTTTCAGGAGCGCCATATGCCATGATCAGTTCCCCTTCCAAGTATTTTATGACCCTACCAGTATCAATCTTCCTAACTGGTTTAAGGAACACATATTTGGAAAAATGGTCCAAAGCGATAAAAATTCCAATGTTCCCGCTTCTTGACCTGGGGTATGGACCAAGGAAGTCTACGAACAATCTTTGGAAAAACCGTTGACTTTCCGGCGCAGCACATAATTAGGAGCTTTTGTCGTTTTGCACACTTCGCAAGCGTTAATGTAAGCCTTTACATCCGGCACCAGACCAGGCCAAAAATAATAACGCCTCACTCTTTCAATGGTCTTATGTATGCCTCCGTGGCAAGACATTGAACCATCGTGTGCTCTTTTAAGGATTTCAGGCACCAGTTCCTTCGGTATCCATAGTTTCCAGGCATACTCGTCATGGATTTGTTCTCCTGTCAAATGCTCAGATTTCCGATATACATAGCCATTGTCTGCTTTGAGGTCAGGAAAGTTTGCTTGATTTGCTTTTACCTTTTCCACTAGATCCACATATTCGGCTTTCCTAAACTCTTCAGAATCCATGTCCACAAGAAGTCCTTCCTGCAGATCCACTGCGGCTATTTCGTCTTCGTTGACGCGAGACAACGAATCGGGAACAACGTTAAGTGAGCCTTTGCGATGCTCAATCTTGAAGTTATATCTCTGCAAAGCCAACGCCCATCGTGCCAATCGGGAATTCAAGTCATGATTGGACATTAACCACTTCAATGAGGCGTGATCAGTTATTATAGTAAATTCCATTCCTTCGACATAAGCTCTGAAACTTTTGAGAGCTACGATGGCCGCTAAACATTCTTGTTCGGTCACAGTGTAATTGCGTTGGGCCCTGTTTAGCTTCTTGGAGATGAAAGCAATCGGACGCTCATCTCCTGCTTCGGGCATTTGTACGAGCACAGCGCCTACTCCCGTTTTACTCGCATCGCAGTGTATTGCGAACGGTTTTGAGAAATCTGGGCTACACAAAACTGGGGCTTCGCACAGACGTTGCTTTAGCTCCTCGAAGGCTTTTATTGCTTCGTCAGTTAGACTGAACTTCCGTTTTGTAGTCATTAAATCGGTCAAAGGGGTAGCAAGTGAAACAAAATTTGGCACAAACTTTCGATACCACCCACATAAGCCCATGAAACTTCTCAAGCCTCGTAGATTTTTTGGTACTGGAAAATTTTTTATTGCTGCCACCTTATCGGGATCTGTTCTTATTCCACCGTCGCCTATTATGTGCCCTAAATATCGAACTCGTAGCATACAGAAATGGCTTTTGCCAATATTTAGAGTCAAACCTGCACGCTTTATTTGCAGCGCCAATTCTCTAAGTACTTCGAGGTGCCGTTCAAATGTGGAAGAAACAACTAATAAATCGTCAAGATAAATAAAAACTTCATTGCGGAGATGTGCTGGTACTACCTTATCCATTAGACGGGACATTGTGCTTGTGGCATTACAAAGCCCGAACGGCATAACCTTGAATTGGTAAAGAGGTCTGCCTGGGACCGTGAAAGCTGTTTTGTCTCGGGATGATTTCTCTAAAGGCACCTGCCAATATGCATCCTTTAGATCCAGGCTTGAAATATACTCGGCTCTTGGCAACCGACTTAGGATCCCACTGAAGTGGGTAAGCATCTTTCTCGGTGAAGTTGTTAACTTTCCTACAGTCCAAACAAATCCTTACTTTGCCAGGCTTGGTTACCATAACGATAGCGGAAGACCATGAACTCTCGGATTCTTCTATCACTCCCAATGCTATCATTCGGTCGATTTCGGCGTACATGGCCTTTTCGACGGCGGGCGAGACGGGGAAATGGCGTTGCTTAATTGGTTTAGCCGTTCCCACATCAATCGTATGCGATATCAGGTTGGTCTTACCGAGCCCTTCTTGCTTAAAGGAGGGAAAACAATTTATTACATTAGCTAGTTTGGTTCGATCGCTCTCAGACAATCTATGCTGATCAACCTCCGGTTTATTGTTACTTTGCGACGATTCTAGTTCCGATATAGTTAAGCTTTTAGGAAGCAAATCATACAGCCTCCAGAAATCGATGCCCAGATATAAATCCTGCTTCAGCGACGGTACTACATAAAGCTTTACGGTATTCTTTTTGCTGCCGTATTCTATTTCGACTTTCAAATGGCCCAGTATCTGCTGCGATCTTCCGTCCGCGGTGGTAGCATGTCCTTTTATCACTTTATAATCACCGCTAGCTTTTATCTCCTCGGCTAGCATTCCACCAACACAACTAATCGAAGCTCCAGAGTCTAATAAGCCATAGACAGTGCGATTCAACACTTGAACTGGCAAAAATGGGCGAGGATCCGTTTGCCCAGCTGGAAGAGAATTAATGTACTGGACGCCAATGTTGCATATTTTTATGTTCTCCCAATACGCTTTTATCCGACGGGAACTTCGGGATTGACGTCTATCTAAATCTGGCTGAAATTTGTATTCCGAGATATCTAATTTCTTCAAGTCCGGTATTTTACTATGAAGTAAAGAATTTACAGCCGGTTTTTGTTCATCTGGTGTGGTGAGTGTTGCAACCTTAGCTGCTTCCTCAATTAGTCGGTCATTGTTGATTGACTCCGAACGGCACTCGAGGGTTTCTGTTTGACAAGCGACCTCGACGTGCCCGGTTTCGAGTTTTTTGAGCACTTGCTACAACTAGGCTTATAGGTATTCGCGGCTCCACAACCGTAACAAAATATTTTCCTTTCGGACACGCAGTCCTGATACCTGTGACCTTCCTTGTGGCAATTCCAACATGCCAGTGCAAGCGCAGAAACATCCATTTCGTTCTCCGATTCCGTTTCACGAAAACTTTCTTGAGTTTCAGCAAACTCCGAAACGTCGCGCTTAAATGGAGTGCTTCGAATGTAACCCTGGCATCGCTTAGCATCAGCCAAAAAAACTTCGCGTCTTCGACAGATTTCTCTCAAGTCTGAGACTGTTTTAATTTCCAAATTCAGGATCTCATGCCTGATTTCAGTACGTAAATTGTTCTTAAGAACTCTAACCAGTTTGTCCGGCGTCCACGGCTGTTCCAGCTGATCGATTAAATCGGATATGTTGTCGTAAAAGCAATCGAAAGTTTCATTCGGCTTTTGTTTTGTATTTCTGATTAACTCCTCAATATCCCCATCGTCTCTGTTTAGTCTGAACTGCAGACGTAGAGCTGAACAGAAATTATCCCAACGGACTTCACCATGAGCTTTATGATAACGCCAATAGAACTCGTTGGCCTTTCCTTCAAACAGAACTGATGCGTTCTTACAGAGAACGGAAAAATTATTTCCTAATGTTTCCCTAGTTAGAGCTTCCACTCTGTAAATAAAATTATCAACGGGTACTCCTCCTCCGGAATATTTGATCTTCCATCCATTCAGAATATGGACTACTTTATCAGGGCGGCTTAATAAATCAGACGCGGAACTTTGTTGCGAAGCAGGTGAAACAGAAGTCATTCTGACTTCCCCTAAATTATAATCAGTTTCTCTGCTCGCGGCCCTATTACTAACGTTTCTAATAGGCTGCTGAGAAGAGTGCCCACCCTGGCTATTATTGGCCATCGGGTTTTGCGTTGCTAACACTCTGGTCATGATATCCGAAACAGAACTTTGGATTAGTTCCGCCATCCTTTCCGATAAAGTCGCTAGTAACCTGCGTTCCATTGCCAATAAGGTAATAGCATTAGCATTAATAACGCTTGTGTTGCTGTTGCCGCTACTGTTTGTACTTGCATTAAGTCCTGACGTGGAAGCTGTGTTGTCCGTAACTTCTCTTTCAATATTCTCGACAGCTGGACGGTTCCTTGAGTGACTGCGAGTTTGCCGCTCCGCATCGTCGGTGGCCTTTGGGACTGTAGGCCTACAGGCATTCTTGCACACCGGGCACAGTTTGCTTTTCTTCCAGTGACCCTCTATGCATCTTTTATGAAACTCATGTTGACAAGCTGTTCTACAAACATCGGCAACGCTAATCTCGCCTTTGCATATAGGACAGAGTAAATTTGGGCTGTTCTCAGCGTCTCTTTCCGGAGATCGGTCTAACCCCATTTTCTAGCGAAATATCAATAATCCAACAAATATCCGGCCACAGTTAACCAACTGCACCAAAATTGACAACAAAAACTAAAAAACGTGATATTGCGATAAAGGAAAATTTACAATTTTTTTTACTGAACTGATTGCTTGATGTCACACGAATCGAAGGGAATTTCACTTGTTACTATCCTTAGAAATGAAAGAAAATTTGAAAAATAAAAGAAAAGGAAATTTTTCCCAGGCGCAATGACCTGACTTAAAGGAAGGAACCGCTACTCTACTTCATGTCGGTATCGGACAGTGGCTTGTTTGAAACAAATCTCACATGTATTCCGGATCCCGATTGAAATTATAGTGCCCCTTGTGAACGAATAAATAATTGTCACAAGCTACTTCCGGATGTGACGTTTCTCTCAAGTACTGTCAGCATTTTCCGTTTAGCTTAGTTTGTGATTTTATTTACCTTTAAAGTTTTTTTTAGTTTAATGACCTGGTATTTCAAACCGGGACAGAAACCGACATAAGTTGGCGTTTGTTTTTTTTTTTTTCCGTTTTCCTCAGCTTGTTAGATACCATGTCACCTCTGCTAAATTAAGGAAAGTTTCATTGTTAATTCTTGATCTTCGGTCAAAAAAAATAATACTGATTATTACTTAGTTTTGAATTCCGAGAAAATGTAAAATTTACAACAAAAACTTTTGAGAATACAGGAGAGTTAAAATTGAAAGAAATTGAAAAGGAAACAAGAGTCGAATTGGCTTATTCATGAGTCTTAATGAGTGATCTCACTAAGGCCCTACACGTTGAGCGCCACTTTTGATATTAATTATAATTAATTATAACTGTAACGTGCAACGTTCGAATGGATGGCTAATTTTCGAAAGAATCTGCGATGGCGGGGCACGCTGTAGATCCGGCACTAGCTCGTCGGCTTTGGGGGTGGAGGT